CTTGTTGCTCATATCTTGAGTAATCACAATACCACCTCCCCTGCATGGTGTCTCGTATCTTGTGTAGTCACATTCCTGAAAAAAAAAAACACAAATGTGATTACTGATTTTATGCGAATTCCAGGTGAGATATAGGGTTGGTTCCCGAATCCTTTATAAACACATGAATGACATGTAATAGGACTCCAATCCAATTTCAGGAAAAGCAAATAAATTGTTATACCTCACGAAAAGCAAAGTAAGACAAATTATCAACCACAGCATTTTAGGCTTGAAGTCGAAAGATATACGTCCATTAATGTCTTCCACCAGGTTCCCCGCCAACTAAGGTAGCGTTTGGCCCCGCTTAAATTTTAAAATAAGTGGCTTTAATAAAAATTTTGCAACACCATGGCGTTTGGTAAACATCAACGAAGCAGCTTTTTAAAAAAATTGCTGTCAATGATTGCTGTTTTTTCAAAGCACCAATAACCCAGCTTTTAAAAGCTGCTTATAAAAAAATTTAACCGGTAGTTTTAATGAAACTTTAACTTTCCTATAATGCCCTCGTTTATTTTTCAAATAGACAGTCTTTGCCCTCCATTACACATGCAGCGACGCAAACTCCTCTTCTTCTCCATTCTTCAAACTCCCCTTTTCTTCTTCATTATGTTCATTCGTAACCCTCCCTTTTCCTATTCATTCCGACTCACATCCCTTTTTCTATTCGTCGTCTGCAACAAAACCCACCCAAGAGCCAACCACAACCACACCCTCCGACCGTGGGCTGTGACGACAACGATGACAAAAGAGCACCGATGGCAGACGACGAGACTCCACAGCATGGACTATAGACGACGATGACGACTGTGCAAGGAGGACAGCTTCTCTGGCCAGAGGGAGAAAAATAGAACAAGGAGGAGTAGAGAAGAGAAGAGAATTTTTGAAAAAAAAAAAGTCCTGAGAGAAAGGAGAAGAAGAAGCAGGCGGCAGAAGGAAAGAGAAGAAGAAGATGAAACGGAGCGGTAGAGAGAGATGCAGTGATCTGGAAGGAAAAAAGGGATTCCCAAAAAGAAAAAGGAGATGCAGAGAGAGACGAAAAAGTTTGACCCAAAAAAAGTGTAAATTAAAAAAAAGAGAAATTATGTAGCATTATAAAGTTTTTTTTTTCAAAAGTAGAAAAAGATTTCAAAAGTAGAAAAAGAAATAAGAAAACAACAAATAATTTCATATTCATGTCTTTTTTTGTCATTGTACACACTGAAAGCACTTCTGATCAAAATTTACCAAACACTTTGATTACTCACAGCACTTTTTTAAATATAGTTTACCAAACACCTAACTGATTTGTTTCACAGCAGTTTATTTTAAAAGCACAGCAGAAGCAGTTTTTTTTAAAAGCACAGCAATGCCAAACTAGCCCCAAAACTCATTAATAAGGTTGACAAGGTCGAAGAATACCTACCCGCGTAAACCATTATATTTGCCTTTGTGGGGCTAGTGGAGGATTGAACCCTTCAATACACCTCATCAAGCTCAACGCAGACCCGTCGTTGTCGAAGCTCCATTCAAGTTGGGCTTCCCAACGAACTTTGGACCATGGGCTTCATCAATAAAAACTAAACGTTGATAAGCCCATTTGAAACGGAGTTTTGCACTTCTTGGCCCAAAAGTATATTTGGGTTAAATCTTAGGTCCGAGTTTGTTTTCCTTTGAATCAACAAAAACGACCTCTATCCTTCGGATGGACCCACGACCCGGCGTTCCAAAAATCGGAATCGAGTGTAAGATCCCCAAATATTTTTCGTTTCTTTTAATTTCTTTTCCCACACTTTCTCGGCAGCCAAACAGACCGGTAGGGTTTCCATTTCTTGTTTCATTCTGAATTATTTGCCCTTCATTTTTTCTGATCTAGCTAAATTAAATTATTCAAATTATTCAAATTCCTTATTGTTTCTCTTTTGTATTGTAGAAATTGAACTTTTCTGGTTGTGTGCATCGAGATCGAGGAGAAATCCAACATGGGGTTTTTGGTAACGACCTTAATTTTCCTTGTGATTGGGATCATTGCTTCTCTGTGTACCAGAATTTGCTGCAACCGAGGACCTTCTACTAATTTGTACGTTTCCTCATTATCCAATTTCACTGTTTTCTTTCTCATTTCTTCTTTTATTGTTTTTGGTTGTAGCTCTTAAATATGTTGGGTTTTTTTCTTTATGTACAATATGTGTTTAGCTGCTGAATTTGTTAATTTTAAGATCACACTAGTCTTACAATTTAAGAAATATTTGGTAGTGGGGAGCTTAGGATTTGATTCATGTCAATGTGCTTAGATGTTTTCAACCATACATATGATTAGGGATTTTGCTATTGAATTAGTTGCAGTATTAGGGGACGCGCTTATGCTTTTTAACAAGTTAATTGGTTGAATAACTACTCATTTATGCTTATATATGACTTTGGAGAATTATGCACTTCTTGTAATGTAAAGAGCTTTTTTATACTGGGGAAATTGTGTGGAAACTGGGTGAATTTGGTTAGTTGGTTCGTTTGCTTTATGTTACAATTAAGTGGTTTATCTGTGTGTACTAAGACTCTCGATTGTAGATTCCGACCCATTCATGTGTAGATGTAACTCGAAACCTTCATTCCACCTGGGGCCATCTTTAAGCCACTGGCGCGGGGGCCTTCAAGGCCCTTGGCCTCGGATTGTTCAATTCTTAGTTCTTTGTTAAGACATTTTGTTTTGTTGAATGTGATTGAATTTATAAAAATATGTAGTCTTATTTTGTTTTGCGAAAATAAAAAATTCAGCTTAATATATTTGCTTTCACAGTTTCTAGTTGATCTTGTATGTTATGTCTGCTTACGAATATGATAATTCAGAATATCAGTTCTCGAAAGTTTATTGTTCAGCGTCTAAGAATGGTTTGAGAAAATATGTGGTTTGATTTGGTTACACCACCAACTCATGAAAGTGACATATGTTTCTTTGTATATAAAGAGACTATCTTATATTGATGCTTTTCTCCTTGTTAATACTTCTTTTTGCTTCCTTATTTATCTAAACTCATGCTTTTCTTGTGTAAAATACTGAACTTTATATTCTTATGCAGGTTCCATCTAACATTGGTTATTACAGCAACAATCTGCTGCTGGATGATGTAAGTTCTTGTGCAAGATGTATATCGTATCTCTTTTTTCTTTCATCGGTATTAAGAAGGCTTTTCATTAATCAATAGGTAGTGGAACATTAATTTGTGCCAAATGTCCTATATAAATTTGTAGTTGAGCATCTTTGGACTTCATTTTTGCTGTCTTGCATCTAAGCTGTGCTTTATACATCCCTGTTTGAGTGCAAGAAAAGGGTGTATGGCCCGAAACAAGCAGTTATGCTCAATTATTGGATTATTTCCATTTTGTTCTCACCCGTAATATTTAACGAAGCCTTTGCATATATTGGAAAAACAATGTGTATGTTATATGCTTCACATTGAAAATCCTCCTCCTCAAAGGCCTACAGAGCTTAGCCCATATAGTCATTTGACTCATTGCAACAGCCAATCCACCCCCAGCAGTGACAACTCATTGCAACAGCCAATCCACCCCCAGCAGTGACATTGTGTCACATCATGGTGGAGGACTTGTGCTGTCTGTCATCCTTCCTAGTTTCAAGGGGAAGAGAAAGGAAAAAACTGAATCTTCTTGTTTCAAGTGACATGAAATAAAAACCCCATGTCTTCCCTGATTTCCCTGATTCGTTATGAATGTGGCGGCGGCAGTTATGTTGTTACAGTGATAGCTTAGGAAGAGTTTGTCATTGTGCTTGATAGTGCTATTGCCTAAGAGGTTAACTTTCTTTCTTTCCTCTCCTGCCTTGATATGAAGATGTAAAGACTCAATGAATTGGTGCCTGTTGAGTTTATGTATTTTCTTATTTTGTTTAATCTGTTACTATGTGGTATTGATGAGTGTTTTTAACATTATTAATCTTTGATACAATTTCTCAGTGTAATGTCCTTTTCGTTTCACCCTTAATCTTCCTGACATCATTTTATTCTTTGGCGTTGTTAGGTGGGCAATTGTATATCTTGCACAAATGAAACCACTCATAGTCCCTATTCTAAATGAATGAGAGTGAAGTTCTGTTTCTAAAAGCATAGATTGCCATATTGGTTACGTGCCAATCGGATTATGTATCATCTTCAGAGAACAGCAAGTTCTAGTCCAATTGATTATTTAGCATCTTCTGGTGTTGGATTTGTATGTAAATGTTGGAGTGTCAACTTTGAATTTGTTTGGCATTGTTGCCCTACATCACCTGCTATTAAATGTTATATGTACTCTCATTCATTTAGAATTCACTGTCAGACAGTAAGAAAAGTATAAATGTGATTGGAATGTAATAAGTTATAGAGATCGAATGAGCTGAGAAGTTTGATGTACTCGTGTTGCCAACTTTAGCCTATGAATGATGCTTTAGGCTTATGTTATTTTTTTCCTACCCTCCCTTGATTGTCATTTTAGATTCAATTTCATACCCAACACATACTTTGAAGATCCTTTTAAAAGAAATCAACAATTATTTCATAAAATCCACATATTCGAAATCGAGTAATGCTATATTACCAAAACAGAAGTAAAAAAAATCTATGTCATAGGCAGAATTGAGGAAACCCTATATTTTTTTTATAACTCTAGTATTGTTGTTTGAGTTCAGCTTTGCTTTGAAGGTTGGATAAGTATGTTTTGGATGTGATTGTGTTGGCATGGGATTGTAAAGTGAAAATTGAGTTTTGTTTAAAAGATAGGTAGATGATAGTTCCACTCTCAATTTTTCATTCTATAATTCAAAAGTAATCATTTTATTATTTTTAAAGCACTCAAAGGGGAAAAAAAACGTAGAATGAGAAAATGAAAGATGAATTTTGAAAAATAAAATAAAATATGGCAAAAGAATTAGAGATAAAAGTGTTTTTGGTGAAACAAATTGTGGAGTTGTTAGCTTCTTTTACTTTTTTGTTTGTTTTAAGCATAAAGTGACCTGGAAATAACTCCGGAAACGAAAACGATGCATTCTATTTTTGTAAAACCCTAAAAACCCAAAACCCATTTGTAAATCCTTGACTGAGAGAACCAAACACGAAAACGATGGCTACATGGACAAACCCAAACGAGCTAATCTCAACGACGTCTTCGACAATTCCCACAGCATTTCACCACCATAAGGCAGTGCCCTCCTTCAGGACATGCATTCCTCTGAGTAGCAAAAGAAGAAGTGCACTGAAACGGCGATGTTTTGGAGTTGTGAGCTGTTCATTTGCACCCATGGAATCGGCCAAGATTAAGGTGGTTGGGGTTGGTGGCGGTGGCAACAATGCCGTTAATCGCATGATTGGCAGCGGTTTAAATGTGGGTTTTCCTTTTACTTTTTCTGGGTCTTTGCTCAAAGTTTGAACTTTTCTCTCTCTGTAACAGGAAAGTAGGGTATTTTGTTTGAAGCCCATTTCTAATTGTGCATAAATTTTGCTGTTTATATATCTCGGTTTGTACATTGTTTGTATTTTAAACATGTATCTCTTCTTCGTTTTGCAATGTGTTATAATTGCCTTACTGTACAAACCCACTTCTGTTTCATAGTTGTTGTTAAAGACTTTGATTTTTCTTTTTCTTATTTGTTGCTGGTACTGGATTGGCTTGATTGAGTAACCAACTTTAGCATGGCATGGTAATTTAGGCCTAAAAAGGAATTTTCTGAAAGTATTGTTAGCAATGCTTTGAAGATTACTTGCAATGATTTGATTACTGATGGTATGTTGCTTATTTTGACATTAGGGTGTTGATTTCTATGCCATAAACACGGATGCTCAAGCACTATTACAGTCTGCTGCTGAGTACCCACTTCAAATTGGAGAGCTTTTGACTCGTGGACTAGGTCGGGCACTCTCCTTTTGATATAGGAAATCTCCATAATTTATGTGGGCGTGTACATATATATGTCAATTCATGATGTATGTATGAATATAGTATAGTAATGTAGCACTGCATTTTATGTTTGCACCTACATCTGGTGGTGTTTGCAGTATCACGGATCTGAATTTGTTGTATACTCTATGAGGTTCTTTGATTTCAATCATTTGATAGAGGTGCAGGTACTGGTGGGAATCCACTATTGGGGGAGCAAGCAGCTGAGGAATCAAAAGAGGCCATTTCAAATGCTCTGAAGGGCTCAGATCTTGTGTTTATAACAGCTGGTATGGGTGGAGGCACAGGGTCTGGTGCTGCCCCTGTTGTTGCACAGATATCCAAAGAGGCAGGTTATTTGACTGTTGGTGTGGTTACCTATCCTTTCAGCTTTGAAGGGCGTAAAAGATCCTTGCAGGCAGGTGTCAATTTGGTCCTTACTTTTATATCTTACATTGGCAACTTCATAAGTGCTTACGAGGGATCTATATTAGTAAATACTTGATGCTTTTTTCTTGAATTGTATAAATCAAATGTTTCCTTTCCTAATATCCTTAGATAGTTGATTTATATTATGAGTTTATTACTCACTAAGCATTCGCATCTTCTTAGCCTGTTGTTGTTCTGTTGTTTTGAATGATGTATTCTTTAAAATCACTCTATGAGACTTTCATTTACATTAGTTAAATAATTGATTCAGGGGGTAGCAGAATCAAAAGATCTTCATGTCATCTTGACCAGTTTAAAAATCCATGGAAGTTGATGTGACCCTAGTTCTTCTTTAATAGTGCTTTTGGGCCTTAGGCCGAACTACAATAGTATCCTACTTCCCTATATCTAAATCATAACTGAAAGCTTTTACATGATCTAAAGTTAACTAAACTCTATTCAGTTATTGATTGTTTTTTCCATCCATTATGAGCATTGAGGAGAATTCTTTCATGCATTCATTGGCGTCAGGATGGTGTGTTTGCAGGCTCCAAATTTGACATAAAACCAGTATTTCTGTTTATCATTGACATGCATATAGATAAGACGATCTGTTTACCAGTATTATGGGTTGGAGAGAATTATCAGTTTTTAAATGTTCGGCATTATCTAAAACATAGTGCCATTTTCTTTGACATCCAAATTTTTAAAAATTGTTGTCTTGTTTTTGCTTCTGTCAGGCATTCGAGGCCATTGATAAGTTGCAGAAGAATGTTGATACTCTTATAGTGATACCCAATGATCGCCTTCTTGATATTGCTGATGAGCAGACACCCCTTCAGGATGCTTTCCTTCTTGCTGATGATGTTTTACGTCAGGGAGTGCAAGGAATTTCCGACATAATCACGGTGAGTACTTTTTTGAGATGCAGAAACATATCAGAAGTTCAAATTTATTGACAACTAAATTCAATTAAGCATAGCCTTGCACTATTAATAGTTATATTATAATCGATTAAATACATCATGATTTGTGAATAAGAAAGGAGTGAGATGCTGAAACTATTCCAATTATTTTAGAATAGCTTTATTTGCATACTTTTGGATTTGAATCATATTAGTCACCATATTCTGATAAATTAAAGTTTTGCTCCCTTTATTTGTAGATTCCCGGACTGGTAAATGTGGATTTTGCAGATGTAAAAGCAGTTATGAAAAACTCAGGAACTGCAATGCTTGGAGTAGGGGTTTCCTCCAGCAAAAACCGTGCAGAAGAAGCAGCTGAACAGGCGACTTTGGCTCCTCTGATTGGATCTTCAATTCAATCAGCTACTGGCGTAGTGTATAATATCACTGGAGGAAAGGACATAACCCTGCAGGAAGTCAACAGAGTGTCTCAGGTACACTTCAGTGTTTTATGAATATTTAATCTCAAAAGCCCTTATAATTTTCTGTTTATTTAAAAATGTAACAAGAGCATTCAATTTATTGAGAAGTGCATGTTCTCGTATGGATGCTCCTTTCCTCTAAAAGTTTAGTGTATTTATGCACCTGTCATCAGTGTATGTGATATCAAATGTCAGTCTTTCCCCCCAAATCTTAAGAGAAAAGGCAATAAGTTCAATGTGCTCCTCAATTAG